AATACGCATACCACTACTTCTACTATTACTACTAACAACGGTATTAATACTAGTACTACTAGTACTAATAGTAAAACAACTAATACTACTAACAGTACTTATACTACTATTACTACTATCCGTAGTAGGTAGGACGCACATGCTGAGATGGTATTTACTTTAATTATTTTCCAGCCTGCTAGGATCCATGTTCCAGGGTTTCAACACCTGACCCCCTCAGCTCAAAGGGTTTTGGAACATCAGATGTCACGCCCGCTCCTCCCCATGACCACCTCGGTCCTGTGACCTTAGTCGGACAGAAAATATGTGGGCTAACCTCCATAGGATGAGGAGCACAGGATTGCAGGAGCATGAAAACTAAATATTACTCCGAAAGTTAGACCCGCAGCTGTAACTATCTCGAAGGTGATAAGGTAAACGGGAACTCACCTACAGCTGTACATTTTCGTACTGAGGAGTGTACAACTACTAATACTCTTAATAAGATTAATTCTACAGCTGTTGCCTTTACCTCTAATACTGCTACTACCACTACTATTACTATTAATCATGTCATTACTATAGTTACCAATAATAATAGTGCTACTACAAATATTGTTGCTACTTACATTACCACTACTACTTCAACTGATACTATTATTACCTCTTCTGCTACTATTACTTCTACTATTGCATCTACTACCACTACTCATATTGCTACCACTACTAGTATTGTTACTTCTATTATTGCTTCTACTAATTCTGCCACTACTACGTAAACTCATGCTATTGTTATTACTTCCACTACTGCTACTACCAGTATTGCTGCTGCTACTACTAGCACTATTACTCATATTGATACCACTACCATCACTACTGCTGCTAATACCATCACTAACAGTGAGAACAACATCATCAGCCACAAAAATTGCATTGTCCGGTACGGCAAAAAACCTTTTGTTAGGACCAGTCCTATGAGCAGCACTGGAAGATCGAATTGCACAAAAAATAGACAGAATAGAGACATTACTTACGTGCAGAGACGGAAGATGATGCTCTCAAAGACCAAGACAGGGCCGGTACTGCCCATGATGGTCAGCGGTTGACCAGAAAAGAGGGCATAGAGGCAACCGACAACTGCTCCCGAGACTATAGATTCCATTGTTCCCTAAGCAACAAAAATGGAGCATGGTTAGGCTAAGGTCTATTGTATACAAATATAGTCAAATAATGGAAAATAGTAGCTAGGATAAGCATCACTAGAAAAATTTGGCCGGATGGAGTCACAGCTTCTGTTACGCAAAATCTCACGAAAAGACTATGAAGCGGTATAATTTGAAGGACAACCAGCGCCCAAATGGTTTAAATTACCACTGTGTTAGATCATATTGGTGACCATACTGTTTAATAGTTGGAGATTTTTTTATCGTAAGCAGACGTTACGTGAGTTTTTACAACGCGCAAAATTTCGCGACTGAAATTAGAATGGGTAACACGCCATACATTTATTGTTGCTATATTTGTTTATTCGCTCAATTTGGGGCGTATAAAACCCTACATTTAATCTGATTTATGAGCGAAGTTTAGGTAATATCGGAGGTTCCCTAATATCCAGACAATTTATATGTGCAACATACTATCGCAAACCGAAGCCCCTCGTTTGTTCCCGATGCATTATAAAATAAGATTAATTCAAAGGAAATACGTTCAAAAAAGGTAACGGCATTCAGTAAAATTTTAAGGCTATTTGCCCAGGTCATCGTCAGACTTAAGATAATTTGCAAAAATTTAAACGTCTACAAGATCCCATGCGAAAATTCTGATGCCGTGCATGGTGGTAAAACGGGAAAGTCTGCCTCCACACAAATATCCACGAACATCAACTGGCAGTGAAAAGGCGTGGTGACCATCTGTCCTCGATAGAGGACACACCTTAGCATTGGACAAAATTCGCACCGTCGGAGTCTGGAACAATCGAACGGCCAACTAGGGATTGGCAGAATACGCACACGGAAAAAGAGCGGCATACAACGAAAGCCATGAGCCAACGTATTAATTCTCTGAAGATGGGTAGACGAGAAACCTATCCGAAGCGTCAGATACAAAATAAACTTCTTCGGTGAACGCTCTTTCCTCATCTTCCAAACTAATCAAAGAACTTATGCGGATCACCAGTTCTGATTCTGGGAGAGTAGTTCCTTCTAGAGTGTGGTTTTATTTCTATATAAGCCTGGAAAGACGATCAAGGTGGCCATATATGGCAAGAACCTGCAAATAGAGTACACTACGGCAAGCGCAACCTTTAAGAACTATCGGCGACGGATAGTTTGAATGGCCATCAAGGTATACAAACCCCGTTGGGCCGTTGTATGGCAACTTGCAGGCAGTGACGATAATTTGGCGCCAGAAACAACCAAACTGTTAGCCTATTGATTGGTAGTTGCTATGTCCCGTCCAAGAGGGTCTTAGACTCCAAGAACGTATCCCATTTACTCTGTGCACTTATGGCAGAAAAGTAAACTTCGCTCCCAAAGGAGAATGAATAATCCAAACTATAGCCGACAGGCATGGGCCAGTAGCCTAGATAAAAGTGTTTGACTTAAACGGATCCGGGCCCGTTTAGACATCGCTGATTGAAGAAGATTTAACGTCCGCGTATAGAGCTCTGTGCAGTCACACCCAGACGGGCGCCATTGACGGTGGATTGGATGACAGTCCCTACAATTGTCATCTATGTTGTTGCTGTTTCTGTTACCGCTGACGATGAACCCCTGTAAAAGTTTAAGAGCCCGAGACAGTTAACAGACTGGTCCGGTGCTCGATCAGCCTTCCTCTTCTTTACTATTTTTTTACTGCTTGTGCCGCCATGTTGGTTTCAGAGTCCTGACAATGTCTTGCATACGTTCTCCTCTGGCGAAAAGCGAAAGGTGAAGGGCTGGCTTTGGGGCTTCTCTATCAGGGTTCTAAGTGAGCTCGTCGTGGCCGATCACTCCTTGTCTTCGAGTGAATAGCAGCGTAGCACCGGGTAAGCTGAGACGAGATCAATATGACAAGAACGGACTAGACATCCAATTGCCC